GTCTCTGCGGCTCCCCTGCCCTCACCTTCCCGCCGGGAGGTGCCTGCCTGGGCGCAGGGGCCCCAGGGGGGAGTCAGAGCCCGACCCTGTGAGGAGGGTGACAGCTGGAGGCGGGAAACCCCTTCCTGGCCGTGGAGGGGCGTCGTCTTGTTTGTCGGCAAAGCTGTCCCCGTTTAATTGGTTGCAGATTCTGACTTGCACAAGTAGCATTCTTTTTAAAAATATATATTTTAGCCGAAACCGGTTTGGCTCAGTGGATAGAGCGTCGGCCTGCGGAGGACTGAAAGGCCCCAGGTTCGATTCCGGTCAAGGGCATGTACCTGGGTTGCGGGCACATCCCCAGTAGGAGATGTGTAGGAGGCAGCTGATGGATGTTTCTCTCTCATCGATGTTTCTAACTATCGCTCTCCCTTCCTCTCTGTAAAATATCAGTAAGATATGTTTTTAAATATATATATTTTATTGATTTCAGAGAGGAAGGGAGAGGGAGAGATAGAAACATCAATAATGAGAGAGGATCATTGATTGGCTGCCTCCTGCACGCCCCCTACTGGGGATCGAGCCTACAACCCGGGCATGTGACCTTGGCCGGAATCAAACCCGGGACCCTTCAGTTCCTTGTTCTGGAACCAAAGGCTGTGTTCAGACCACAGCCAGTATTCAGAATGATGGACATGGTTAAAGTAAATCACACACAATTCATGTTATGAAGTATTATGCAGCTATGAAGAGTGATGTTTAGAAATAGTCATAAGAAGGAAAAATGCATGTGATGTAATATTAAACAGTATTCACAGTCATAAACAATATTATGAACATTTTTACTTAGTTGAAATTTTATTTAATAGAACACTTTTTAAAATATATATATTTTATTGATTTTTTTACAGAGAAGAAGGGAGAGGGATAGAGAGTTAGAAACATCGATGAGAGAGAAACATCCACCAACTGGGGATGTGCCCGCAACCAAGGTACATGCCCTTGACTGGGACCCTTCAGTCTGCAGGCCGACGCTCTATCCACTGAGCCAAACCAGTCAGGGCT